AAATTTAATTTTTTTTTTTTTTTTTTTGAAAAGTTACATTATTTTAACCAGATTTTAGTGAATGCTGCACTGTGACAGTTCTAGATTCAGCAGTTCTTGGGTTTGGTAAATGATCTTTCTGAAAACTACTTTGGTGATTAAAGGTTTCTAGGGTAACTCGCACTGTGCAGAAATCTTAGTGCACTTGGTGATGCGTGTAAACTAACACTTTGTAGCATGCTGCTGGAACCTTTGAACTGTTTTATTAGTGTTTTTCATCCAATGCTGATGATGTATCTGGTCAATGAAAATATTCTGGATTATCAAGACAGAGTATCTGAGATCCTGGCACACTGCAATTATACTACCAGCCAAATACGATTAATTTGCCATTACCTGAAAAGACTTTGTTAAGGAAGATAGGAAACTTATTTCAATGGCACCAGTTTTTCTCTCAGGCTTCTTCCATATCATTTAAGATCTTTGACTACCCTCTGTGATAGCCTTTCTCTCCTTCTTTCAGCAAATGACACTCTGAATGATCCCATTAACTTATATGTGTGGGTTTCTTCTTAGTGGCTTCATGGCTGAATAAAGAGGTTTTCTTGCACTTCTACAATTTTTTGACCTTTCCAGTCAAACTACCTGTTGTGATCCTCTCTTTGGTGTGAAGGGAAAGATGTCTGTGAGGGCTTTTGTAGGAAAGATGCCTCAGTTCCTGTCAGCTCTGTTAAATCATTTATATCAGTGCTTATCAATAGATATCTCAACAGGCTCTTGTTCTTGACAGTTGCCGATCCTTTCCAAACCTCCTCATCTAGTCCTGTAATTCCTGTATTGGTACCCATGTATAATTGAGCTTGAGAGAGTGCCTGTCTGACTTCACCTTCTTTTCCTCAAATATCTTGCCCTCTGCTTGCTCTATTTAATCTTCATAATAAATGTCATATTCCAAATAATGTATTTCAAAGGAGAGAAATCAACCTTCAGAGGAGGCTGCTGAATTCAGCTTCTGCTTTGGAGGAGATTAGAATCTCGCGTAACCTTTTTCTAATATGAATACAGTCACAGTTATTGAAAATGATCTATTCTTCTTTCAGCAAATGAAGGCATTGAACAACCCTTGTTTCCTAAATGAGTGTTTAAAGTTTCTGGATGAACCTAAAGCAACTCAGAAATCTTACCAGATAAAATAAACTTGCAGAAAACTTTTCCTTCCAAAAAAAGACTATTTTCTTCTTGAAAGCTTGCATTGGTTGTTCTCACTCCTGCGTATTTAAAATTTACAAACTCGTCAGAAGACATAGGAACTGTATTCCTGCTGGAAAAACCGTGGGATATATTTCTACATCATGTAGCTGACCATGAGTCGTGTCCTGTGTCCATGTCATCCTCCCCTCACCCCTTCCCCATCCCCTTTTTATCCCGAGACTCTTGAGTACATAGACTAGGAGCTTCTTGTGACTTGTGTCTTAGGGGAGGGGTATGAAGCTTATTCTCATGTTATTTTTAATCTATGGTTTAGCAGATATTTTGTTGAAGAACAATGCTATGATCTATAAACCCATCATAAAAAAGAAAAATTGAGGTTTCCATGACTAGAGTGAAGCTTATGTTGGGCTTTGGCGTCAAGACTCATGTGAATTAGGTGTTTACTAGTCAGAATTTGTTGTTTTATAAATAAGGGATCTTACCAAATGGGTTGTGAAAGGTCATGGTGATGATTAAACTATGAAATGTGGAGTGCATGGTAGTTAGCAGTACTTTGTATGAAATTCAGGTCAGTAAGCAAAATCAGCACAATGTATCTTTCTGGTTCTTTTTACAAAATGATAGACAACAGGGTCATAAACATTTTGATTTTGTCTTTTCATTGGGAAGAAGTGTTTTATGGTATTGTAAGTGTTATGGCATTCACCTAAACTTCATAGTTCTTGGGGCTTCAGAATAGGTAATTTGTTCATCTATCTGATACTCATTAATTTTGATTACTCTTATGTCATGCAGTCTTTTCTCTTGCAGCTAAAAAACCCAGCCTGTGGTGCTGCATTGTATTCTCAAAATTTTATCAACTGAGTCAGCTAGTGGGCAGGAAGACTTCTGCTGCAACTCAAAGGCCTGCCACTCCTTCTCGTACCCTTCAACAAGTAGGAGGCATCTTTGAGGGAAGAACAGCTGTTTAGTAACAGAACTTCCCTTTTTCTGCCAGCAGACTAATACATTATCTAGAAGAATAGTGTTTAGTAGTGTATTCTTTTCAGGGAATAAAATGAGGCAAATAGTTCTAGTGTTGGTCCATTTGCTATTGACAAGTGGAAATATTTGTCAGGAACACAGGAGGAGGTTGCAATCTACTTTTGGCTGTTTATGGAGGACTTGTTTTTTCCCTTCTTTTTTTTTCCCCATGAAGGAAAAGAGAAAATTGAAAAGGAATTGCAGTCACTTGGAAGCACCAGCTTTCTTAAGAAGAGCAGCTTCTGTAGCAGAGTGATTTCAACCCCCACCCTCTCTGATTTTGGGAGGAATAATGATGTAAACTGTGTGAGGGAGAACTGTGATAATTGGAAGGGTGACAGAAAACATTCGGGGAGTGGAAGTGTGCTAGTGTGAACCATTTGCTGTATGTATGGGAATAAGCAATAGGAATTCTAATGTAGAGATACATCCCACATCATTCTGGTCCCGTTCGACTAAAATATTTCTGAATGAAAGAAAAGTGATTTCTTTCTTCAAATATGTTTTCTCTTGTTCTGCATTTTATATCTGTTTTGTTTTAATTGACCTTTAGAATGTTGTAAACTCTTCCTAATTCATGCAAGAATAAGTCAAAAAAAGAAGATTTTTACATAGAATCACTTTAGGGTGGTGTGTTGTTTTTTTTTTTTTTTTTTTTTTTTTTTTTCTCCTGCAGTATGCACACAAATACAGGATGTCATGTTTCATTTGCTTGCACAATTTTCCCTTTTTTGTGCTGTTGCATAACATCAACTTTGTTGGCTGAAGGGTAGGTATCATTCTTGAGTTTTCACTGCTAGTGTTTCTAAATTGGTATCTGTATCCTTTTTAGAACTGAGGGAAGATGGTTTCCAGCCTCCAAGCTATTTAGTGCAAGGAGTGAAGGCTTTACTTACTGCTTTAAAACTATGGATGAAAAAAGAAGTAAGTATAAGGGATTTTGTTTGCTATTTTCATGAGCTCTGTTTTGATTTAGAAGTAAGTGAAGGTCTGTGCCCTTTTAAAGTTTAAGATTATTTTTATCTGTTAATGAGTACTGAAAGGCTCTATGGAGAGTATGTACTGCTGATTTGTGGGGAAGAATCATCATGACAATTTTATAATCTATGATGCTAAAAAAGTCTTTTTAGACCAATTAATAAGCTCTTGTATTGTAGCTTATAGTAGTAGAATCTTGCTTCACCTCAGGATGGTATAAAAATGCTAGAGAATAAGCTGATAAGGTGGGGTTTTTTTCTGACAAGTCTGTTTATGTAGTTGATCCATCCTACTCTGAGGCAGTGGGGGGATGGAATGGCCTGATATTTGGCATTTTCCATTAATGTCAGTGCTTTGGAAGGCACATTTCTGGTGCACCTGTATTGCTGAAGAGTCGGTTTAGATACAGATGAGGATATTAACTTCAGTTGAATACTGTCCCTGCTGAACATTGGCTAACTCTTGTCAAATCATTAATATGTTGTCTACACAGGCTTTGCTGGTGCTCTGCTCTCCAGGAAAGCTTATTTGTTTTGGCATAGCACTGGATCTGACCTAACTCCATGTGTTTTTTCATTTGCCTGAGCTAATAAGCCCTCTTGGAACCTGTGCTTCTGGGAAGTGCTGTTCACTGACAGGCAGTTTGGTTCTGACTGAGCTGATTAATTCTAGTTTGTTGCTGGCCATGCTGACTTGAACTGGCTCTTGGAGATCTGTTTGGTCTTTCTGCCCACAAGTTCTCCGTGTAAGAGAACTTATTATACAACAGGTATGATATTTGCACAATGCTGCATCCAACATAATGAACTTCGTGGAACTGAACACGAGGTGCAAACGCAGAGGTGGTTACTCTGTGTGGAGTCCGCTGGGGTGCAGCCTGTGCAGCATTATTAATTCCAGGTGAACCTTTGCTGGCCCTCTGTAACACCTCTGAGTTGGTTCTCTAGTGCCTCTTTGTCCCATTCTGGATCAAAGCTAGCTAGTAAGCAGTGTAGCGGTATTTACAGGATGTTGTGCCTAAGCTGTTAAACCACGTGTGAATCCAAGCTATCCCTGCATCCGTGGCAGGGATAATAAGCAAACCAAGTAATCAGACTGCTGATAAATGAGATCCAACACAGCCTGTATAAATCCTTATTTTAATCTGAAATTGGATTGGCATTCCTCTTTTCCAGATTGCTGTAGTATAGTATTGTAGCATTTGTGTGCTGTCTCGTAGCTCATGAAGTACTTTGATTAATACTTCATCTAGAATGTGATATGTTTCCTACTTTTCTATGGAAAAAAAATAATTGCACATGCTTATTAATGAGACCTGTGAGTATTCCCAAACCACGGGCTGAAAAGACATTTAAGTTGTGAGGAAACTGCACAGCATCAGTGATCTAATCACAATGTTGTCTGCTGCCCACCAGCTATCATGTTTTGTACCTTGCGTTCATCTTTTCTAGCTACTTCTTCATAAGTGAGCTGATCTTTTCTTTGCAGCAGGCCATGTGTGCGATAGGATTGTAGTTGTATGCAGCTGAAGACAGAAGGAACTTTGTACATTGCTGTATGATCTGCTAATGCTGGGGATTTCAGACAGATTCTGAAAAAGAAATGACAAATGAATACTCCTCCAATCAGAAGCCTGCTCATGAGGTTTCACATTCCTGTCATGGAGTATGTCTTTTCAAGACATATGTGAATTATGTTAGTGTATTGTTTTAAACTATTTGCTGTAGAATTTCAAACTTGTCTTCAGCAGGGCAGTGGTATCTTCATTTCTGCAATATTTTAAAACTGCTAAAAATTATAAGATGCTGAGAATAGAGATTGAGTGCTACTAAAATTATTTTAGTTTTCATGTCTTTATTTGAATTCAGTTTGTGCAAGGCTTTTATCAGTATGTGTATCTTCTGATTACTTTGGTGCAGATCATCAATCTGCACAGATACACACAATAATGATGATGACCTATCCAGTCGTCTGAGCTCTTGGATTTTAGCTCTGGCTTCCTTCCAGCTTGCATAAGCAACAGGTCTCAGATTCAATTTTTCAGATGTTTGATTCATGTGCCAGTAAGGTTATTTTGGGCAAGTGTTCTGTGTTTTTTAAAAAAGATATTAATAGCTGTTATAAAAGGAAAAAAATCAGGGGAGGGAGGGATGTGGAGTTTATTATTTTTATCTTTATTTTTTTGTGTGTGCTTTTTAAAGTATTGATATACTTCATTTTGATGCTAGTTTCCAAAGATGGGTGAATTCATTTGCCATTTACCAGGACTTTTTTTATCTGTATCTCTTGATTTAGGACAAGTTTCTTTTTCCTCTGTATATTTCCAACATTTACAAAACCATTTCTTGAAGCTCTTGAATGCATCATAGCTTTTTTCCATTATTTTCTTTACCTGCAGTTTACATCTGACATACTTAGGCCATTTTGTTGTTACTGGTCTCCCTATTACAAGAGAGTTCCTCAGTCTCAAAGGCTGCTTGTTCCTTTTCCAAGAAGCAGTATGCAGAGACAACTTAAAACCAAGTTATTTAATAATGGTAATATTTTTTCAGACATGGCATCTGTGGGTATTCATATTTCCTGCCCATCCTTTCCTTCTGTCAGACTGTTAGGTTATATAGATATCCATTTGAATTTGTTTGCATACTTAAGTTGCTTGGATGGATTTTTTTTTTTTTTAAATAATTACTTTGCTACAGCTTAATTGAGAAAGCTTTGGTCTAAATAGGTACCGTTTATAGTGGCAAACAAATGAGCTTGCCAGTGGAACTCCACTTTGCTCAGAGAGTTACTATAAATCATACTGGCAAAAGAATGTGCTTCTGATATAAACTATGTTTGAATTGGGAAGGCTTTTCAGTATTTTTAAACTAGAGAACCTTTGAAGTCAGTGTTTTTTTTGAGGATTGCATCAGTCACTTCCTCTTGAAGTCTTCATGGGCAGGAAGGCTTTTGGGAGAGTGAAGTCCTTAAGTGGAAAGGACTGTATGGTCCTGAAATGACCAGTAACTTGATGGAAAAATTATACAGTTTAGTGACAGAGGTGCCGTGTTCCCAAATGTGAATGTGTAGAGGCGATGCATTCAAAGAATGAACAATGGTAAACAATATGGCACTGAAATGAATGATTATATCATGGTTATACATCCATGTTGGGTTTTTTTTAAGGGGAGAGAGCATTCTTTTTAATTACTGAGAAGAAGCCAGGTTCAGTGAAATGCATGTACAGTATCAAATTGCTTCTAGCAGCAATTTTGCTGCTGAATCTCATTTTTGAAATGTGGGTAGCTGAAAGTGTTTGTGGGATGTTTTTCCATTTAAATAGTCTATTAAGCGGATAGCAGGATTCAAGTCAGTCATTCTGGTCTATGTGTGAGTGCTGTTTTGTCTGTTTAATTCTAAGTAAGTGTTTTGAGGCATATTTAAACTGTACATACAAAATATTAAATATTTTTTACTAGATCTAACTGTAGAGTTTGGACTCACTCAGATTGGTGTTTTTATATATATATATATGAGATCTGTCTCTGATACTGTTTCAAAGGATTAAAGGGAACATAAACTGCTAGGGCTTCCTAAATTTTTTTATAAGGAATGACTTTTTTTTTGAGTCACTTTCTCCAACCGACTAGATTCTAAATAAGCAAAGAAGGTAGTCTTTAAAAGTGAAATGTGAGGCAGATATCTGAAAATCTGCATGTTGGTTAGTGAATATTATTCTTGATTTTCTCTTTAGGTTAAATTTTTGCCATAATGAAATTTCCTTAGTCTTTAGCAATTTTGAAGGTCATGACTATAATGATTTTCTGAAGTGTGGCTCTATACCGACCATGCTAAAGGAAAAAAAAGAAGCTGATTGCTGTACTGAGGGGAAAAAAAATAAATAAGTGATTGTCAGTATGGCTTTGTATTACCCCTTCTTTGGATTCTTAGAGACATTGAGGGATATCTGCTGCCTTCTTAAGCTTGGACTGGAAGCTTCAGTGTGCGTGTTTGTATCTGTCCTGGCAGTTTGCAGTCATTATTACAGAAATTAATCTGGTTTTTTTTATTTTAATTTTTTCCCTGTAGCTTTGTTTTTCATATTACTTCCGCTTTTATCTGAAAAAATGAATTAAGTATCTTTTCTTCCCCCTTTGTATACAGCTTGTAACAGAACATGCCTTTGAAATTCCAGACAACATTAGGCCTGGGCATCTCATAAAAGAGCTCTCAAAAGTGATTCGTTCTGTAGAGGTAAGAACAGAGGCTACCCAAGATAAGCCTGCAGAAAAAAAAAAATCTTTTGATTGGGGTATTCCACAGTAGTTATGCTTCTGATCGACTGTATTCACCTTTTAATTTATTTAACTTCCATTTAATAGAAGATCAAGAGGAAAACTGTTGGGAATACTAAGCTATGGGTATTTCAGATAAAGAAAATGTATAGCAAGGGTGTTTTAGTTTTTTAAAAATATTTTTAATGGTGAAATTATCTGTAGGTCAGTATTTCTAAAATGCTCTCACTTATAACTACTTAACAACACATTCACAGTAATTATTGTTAAAGAGTTTAGTTTGAAATTCTGTGCATATTACATTCTCCTACTGTTTTGTTAGTTCTGATGCAGTTGTCTCTTTTGCTCTTTTTCTCATGCTTTGTCACTGTTACATAGAGTTTTTTTAATTTCTTTTTTCCCTTCCTATACCAGTGTTTTGCTCCTTTATTCCTTAATGAACGTTGATTCTTGACAAATTCTCACATTTGCATGTGGAGAGAACAGTTCTGAGAACTGAAATATGGTCTGTTGGGTACAATACATGTCTACCCTATGCTGCCTTCCTGAATAAAACCGTATGTTTTGGTGGTAACTTTTGGCATTAAGCACTACTATTATGGGAGAGTATAAAAGCTCCAAATGGGAAAGAGGTGCAGTAGAACTAAGCTTTGTACATCAAATCCATAGGAAATATGTAGTACCTCTCTAAAAGGTCTAGCGATTTTATTTATATCATTTACATTTAATTAGATGAATAAGAAGCAGCACTTAAATATGTGGGTTTATTCCCCTGAGACTATTCTGAAATATGTGTTTTTAATTAAAGGAGGAAAACAGCAAACTAGTTAAAACTCAGGGAATTCTTGGTTCGTGTCCAACTTCACGGTCTTTGCATGAAACAACTTCCCCTCACCACTCCAGACGAAGGGTGAGGAAACTGAGAGACCATGCTGCCAAAACTCCTTCTAATCTGGACATCCTGGAACTCCACACTAGGGAGGTACTGAAAAGGCTGGAGATGTCACCGTGGGAGGAGGCAAGTATTGAGTTATGTACAAGAAAAACAAAACCAGAGTAGATTTCTAATCTCTGTTGAAAGGGAAAAGCTTATAACATGCATAAGAACACAGGCTACTACTCTTTGTCATGAAAGACATGGATAGATTTGGTTTTGGTTTCTTTCTTTTGAGGTTTTCTGATAGGAATTTCTTTCTTCCTTGATAATTTTTTTGTTGGAGGTTCCTTCAACCTTTTGGTTCAGAAGGTGTCCTGAATCCACTACCTACTTCAAGTATAGTTTTTGAGTTAGGACTGCTGTAGTTATTAAGTGGTACATTGAATCAGTTCTGTGAAGAAAAGGGAGCTTGCAAAGCCTTGATTTGGTGAGGCTCTGAGACAGCCTGCTTCTCTATGTGTTTTTAGATAGCTGTTTCTTATAGTTCAGTTACTGTAATTTGATTAGCCTTGGTTTTCAGTCATGTTCCTATTTCCTGTATGACTGTGCCTCCCTACCAGTAAGCCTAAGGCTGCCTTTGGTCTCCATTGTGGGGCTGTGGACTCTGTGGTCATATTACAAAGGTATCATGGAGTGAATGAGAGAAATGTAGTCTCTTGAAAAATTATTTTTTTCAGGTTTGATGACCTTATTTCAAAAAACAGCAACAGAAATGGGAGGAGGAGTGAGAGAATGGAAATAAATAGCTTTATGAAAGGAAATAAGTAGCTTTCTGAGAAAGAGAAGTGCTGACAAATTCAGTTGGGACAGGATGGACTGTCATAGTGGAGAAATACTGATTTGGGTCCGTATATTGATCTTCATAAGGCATGAACAAGAGACATTCATTTAGCCCCCAAAGACAGGAAGTTGAACTTAAAATTTACCACAGATAGCTAACCTGTGCAGTTCATTGCTACAAACAAATGTTTAGGAGTATTAGTCATTGTCATTTAATGTAGAAATATATTGTTCACTATTAGTGTTGACTTGTTAAAAAAATATTATTTCACATGTTTCTGGTTTGGCACATAATTGTATCGCTGATTGCTTCAGAGGATATGTCAAATGTAAATTGCTTTGAGCTAAGAAAGTTCTGCTTATGGCAGGTTACTTTCCATTATTGATGTTTTACTGTCCTATAAATCAGTTCTGGGATACTAATTCCAGGGACCTGATACCCAGTCCGGGAGTTGTCTCATCAGTTCCAAGCCCAGCTTTTTTTTGGCTTGCCAGTCTCTATTGGTATTTCTTTGTTTTGAACACAGTGATAATTCTCCGAAGGAAATATAAAAGGAGTATTATAGTGAAGTTGTAGTTGTTCCAGATGCTTCAGGAGCGTATAGATTCAAGGAAGGACAAGATGCAGTCTGCTGGTTTTTACATCCAAACATGTTTTGTCTGAGCTTTCTTCAGTTGGTTATCAGGAAGGTAACCATCCTGATGCTGAGATTCAGGTTTTGTGGAGTGCAGAAAAGACAATTGAATTTATAGAAATAAATAATAAGTGACATTGCTTTTACTTCTTTAGGACACCACAAGCTCGAAACTGAATGGGAGATTTAACAAGCCCTTTCAGCCATCTTCTACAGTACCTGAATGGCGAACAAAAGACAATGATCTTCGCCTTCTGCTGTCAAATGGAAGAATAATTAGGTACCAAGGGTTGATTGTGGATCACTTCTTCCTAGTCATCATGGTCTGGAGCTTGCTAATTGTTAATAACATTTCTTTTCTGTTTGTGGAGCTCTAAGTTCCTTTTTACCAGTAAGATTCATGTTAGGAATGTAGAAGCAATGTGTTGTCTGTTGTGTCTGCTGTCCCCTAGTGGAGCCATGGTTATGGAGTGAAGAAGAGGAGATTCTTTGCATGTTCCTTTGTTACAGCATTTCATTCAGTTTCTCAGTTGGATTTGTACTGAAGGGAATGCTTCAAAGTAGAAATGGTTGTTTTGTATCCATGTATTGGAGTCATTCTCATTAAAAATATTCTGGTGTAAAACTTTGCATCTTTATGGAAATGATGGTTGTACAGGGAGTGAAATGGGAGTATGTACAATTTGGAACAAAAAGATGAGCATAAGAGAACGTTACTGTTGTATCTTGAGAACGTGTTGTAAATAATGAAAACATCTTTCAGGTTTGTAAGAATAATGTGATTTTTTTTTTTTTCTTGTGAGACAGAGATGAGAGACGCCCATTTACAGATCGAAGTCTTTACACAGCAGATAGTGAAGATGAAGATGACAGGACAAGGTCGAAAAAGATGACTGTTAAGGTAGAAGACCAGCCCTCAGGATCTGAAGGAGAAGGGAATGCAGACGCCCAGAAACCACTGAACAGTAAGCTTGTCTCTAAGTCCTATCAGTTGAACATTTTGGTGGTCTTGAAGAGGGTCTAACTATTGTGAAGTCTGACTGAAATTTTACCAAAGTATAAAGAGGATAAACTAATATATCAGAGAAGTAATATTAGAAGTTAAAGCAAAGCATTTGTCAAATATTATCTGTCTACTGAAGAAGCTAACAGGATAGAGTTGAAAAGTAAAACACCTTTTTATGTTAGTGCAGTCCTGAATACTATGTACAGCGTTTTTCAGAGTGGAGGTTTAACTGGTGTTCTAGGTGAGTATTTGTTCCTTTTGGTCTGTTTCATAGTGTAAGAATGCTGATTTTTCTTTACTAAAATATACTTCAGTGTGAAAAGTTCGTCACATCATTCACTGTAGAGAAGCGAAGACCATAACTTACAGCTAATTTTGCAGCTAACTTTAAACCTATCTTATATTTTACTTTTCTGTTCAATTTGGTGATTACATACTTGATCATACAATTTTGTATGTCTTGTTAATTATTAGGTTTATTCCATACAAGTGATCAAATGTAATTTAGCATTAAAAAAATCTTAGGCTTTTAACTTTGCAGAAATCTGCAAGGCTGGGGAAGAATTTAGGTTATCTGTAAAACACTTTAACCCCAGTTTCCAATACTTTAAACCATCCTTCACTAGGAGTTAATCTCTTTTGGTCTTTCTGTAGCCTCAAGCCTTCCTGCCAAGTGTTCAGCAGTGCTGATCACACAGTGTATTAGTAAAGTATCAATATTGAGTGCCTGTTTTCAGCACCTATTTTAATAGTACTGTCTGTGTGCAGTGACAAATTGGTCCTTGACATAGCTGTTCAGCTCTCTGCTTAATTATAAAAGTCACATCCTTTCACAATAGAACTTAGAAGAGCTCAGAGGGTATGTAATAGGAAATGGAGGTCAAGACTTAAAAGATAACAAGACTCCTCAAGAGACTTACAATTCCCTTGGTTTCCTGCACAACAATCCATAACAACATTTGAGTCCATTGTCAGCATGGATAAAATATTTAATTATTTTCATTAACAAAGCAATTTGTAATCCCTGTTGACTGTGCTTCCAAAGGTCACAGAGGACAATATTAAAAAATTTGCACAGGAAAGAAGTCCCTCTTGGGTACTGGTGAACCAACAAGGCAAACGGCTTGTTGAGTGAAGGCTTAGGCATATGTGGTGTTTTTCCACTTTCAGAATTAAACTAAGTAAATTAAACTAAGTTTTACACTTGAATCAAAGACTGAATCATATGAAGAAATTGTAGATTTTCTTCAAAATTGTTGCTCTTGGTTGATACAGAATGAATATGGCAGTGTGTATCTAAATGTAAGAAATGTACTTAGAAGTGAATGTTGAGCTTGTTCTTCCAGAAATTGAGTACTCGGGTCTATCGCTAATATTTTTAATTGAATAGTGAGAGTCTTCAGACTTCCCTATAAAGATCACCTACATTTGATTATTTTGCCTTAACTGAAGGTCTACAGAGAGAGAGAGATGATACTCTTCTGCAGGGAATTCCATAAAAGGAACTACCTGTTTCTATAACAGCTGCTGCCTTCCATTGTTCTTACTGGGATTTAGGCCAAGAAGCAATGTCCACAGAGAGATGCCTTTAAACAGATGAAGCTCTATATAGCTTTGTGTGTCATGCCAAGATCCTGGTTCTAAATGGTGACCCAGTGTTATCAGAGAGACAAAGATCAAGTGCTGTGCTTGATAGAGCAAGATACTTTGTGTGGATGAAGGGAAGGTGATTTAAGATATTTTTCTGAATTCACAGTAGCTGATCTTACAGATCATGACTTCTTTCATTCACGTGATTTCTGGACTATTCCTCCCAGTCTCTGGAAGCATACAGAGCCATAACTTTATCTGAGGGTAGACTGGTTCATTTTGAAGTTACAATAGTAATTACCAAGGTAATTCACAAAAACAACAGACAAAAAAAGCGCAAAACCCAACTTGTATATTTAGACTGAGTTTTTTTTAAAGCTCAGTTAAAATCACATTCATGGATGAAGAGATGAGGGGTCCCAATAATACATGATGTGTTGTTGTGAAGATCAGTAAATATATCTGAAACCTGTATGTGAAAGAGAACGGTGAGAAAACTACAGTAATCTTTTACAGGTGAATGTAGAAAGTTGAGGGGGGGAGCAACTGGGTTTTTTTGTTGTTTTTTGTTTGTTTTTTTTTTTTTAAAGAGACGTATAAAGGAATGCAGCTTCCCTGGCTGTTTGAACAATACAAGGCAGAAGGAAAACGGGAGAGGTGTTCTCTGACTGCTTTGCACAGAGCTTGCAAAGTAAAGAAGTGGTAAAAATGGACAATGGTTTAGCCGCATATAGGAATACTGGCATAGCCAAACTGGTTCAGACCTGAGGCTCATACAGTGTGTTATGTCATGTATGCTAGTATCTAGCCCCAAATGAACCAGGAATGTCTCAATAATGTTAGGTGGCTTTAGTTGTTCGGTCTAGACCATATTACCAGACAAATAATTTGTCCCACTTAGTAGGGTATCATCAGTTAATCTCTATGAGAAAGCAAGAAGGCTTCTGAAGTATGAGACTCTGTATTTAGCATTGCTTTTATAAATCTTAGTAGTATCTGTATATAGCTAATTATGTACATGTTCAGTTTCTTTTCTGTCTTGGTGAATCATTTGCCTTCTAATAGGAAGACTCACATTTCTTCTTAATAGTTTTGTCATTTTAATAATTAGGATCTTCTAGTTCCTTTAGACAGAAAGAAGAAAAGTTCCTGAGGAGCCTTAGCGAAGGTTAAGTTGTGGTTCACTATTTACACATTAATTTTTGCCTAAGATCTGAAGCTCCACATGTGAGCATATTTAGATATCCTTAATTGTTCTTGCCCCTTCCTTTAATTTTTCTCGAAGATTGGAGCAGGTTATTTGCTTTGAAAAAGGCAGTAGTCCAAAGGAAAATTCATCTGAGCTATATAATGGTATTATTTTCTGTATCATGCATGCTGTTACTTATCCTAGAATCTTGTATGCCTTTTTGAAATGAGCCAAAGGCTTAAATTATCATCAGAAATTCCTTGGGGTTTTTTGAGCTACAGTAGTTTAGACTATTCATTTTATTGTCATATGTTGAACATTACTTTATTTAGCTTAACTTCATATACAGTGTTGTTGCTCATTTACTGTGTTTGGATATTCCTCACAGTTTTTTCTAATACTATCTTAATTTTAATTAGTCTTCTCTAGATTTTGGGCCAGCTGTTCATTTTAATCACTTTCTGATAAGATGTCTCATTCTTAGATTTCTTCTGACTCTAAAAATAATTTCCACTTATGTAGTGTTTAGAAATTAATAATATGCCTTGAAATACATTTGATGCCTATTTGTGAGCTTTGCCACAGTCTACAATAGGAACAAAATGCTACTAGAATTGCATGTATATAGGGTTACAGTTACATCTGTTATGCTTGCATAATTAATGAGTTATGAAGGATTGCATTCTGTTTATGTAGTTTCATATAAAACTATACTGAAAGCAAACCCATACACATCAGAAATTAGCTCTGGAATGAAGATAAGTAAAGTTAAAATGTTGATTTGCTTTCAGCATAGTTTTATATGAAACTAAGTACTTGAAAACTTGAAAAACTTATGTTTCTTTATCTACTGCCTTCATGACACAAATTCATAAATTTTTTTATTCTATTTGGCTTTTCTCCAAAAAACTTTTGCTAGTTAAACTGCATATTGTAGTCTTTCATAAATTTGTACCTAATCAAGATTTCTGCCAGCAGCCTTGACACAGGTATACATACAGCCCACTGAACTTGAGCCTTGGATTCAGAACACTTACACATGTGTTCCCTACTCGTGGTTGTTTGGGTCATACGCTGTTTTTTAAGAGCACATGCTTCTGGGAGCTGCTCAGCTACTTCATGTTTGAGTTCTTTCAGTGCTTAAAAAAGTAAAAACCATGTGGACTAGATGGCTTGATTTGATTGATTGTTTTGTCATATGCCAGTGTTTTTGATATCTATTTTGACACCTCATTCTCTAATTAGTACTTTATCTTACTACTAGCAAAAAGCATGTCTAAGGTTGGTATTTCCTCTCCTCCTCTTCCTTTTCAGGTCTTTCTGTGATGAAAACTAATGCAAGTGTATTGTGTATCATCATAGTAATATTTTAATCTTCTTTAACAGGTCTGCATTTTAACCCTGATTGGCAGCTCCATAGTCGCACAAAACAGGCAGAATATGCCAGTAAACTGTGACATTAAATTTGCAAGTAACGCGATTAAAATTGTGACAATTAAAATTGCAAGTAACGCAATGATTTTTTTACTTTTAAATCACTTAATATCCTCTGACTTCCATGTTTAGTGTTTCTGTATAACTGCCTTTTTTTTTTTTTAAAACAAGGAGATTCCAGGTTCAAAGAGCCTAAGACAAAATATCTTTAAGATTACTTCTAATTAACTTTTTCTGAGAGCCACTTCTCTGATCCCAGCCTATATACAAAAGCAGAAACTGCCCAAGGTGGTATCTGTGGAGTATGTGCTCTATGGGAGAGAAAAAATACATGCTCCTGCTGCGCCTGACTTCCCTTCCTCTGGCTTCACCCAGTCAGTCGCTTGAGGAGTCTATTGGTCAACAGTAGGCAACTCACTAGAGTTTTAAGCAAACTTGACTTGTGAACGAGATCAGTGTGTGGATGTATGTGATTTTGTTTACTGACCGTTAAAAACTAAATATGTGTTTCTTGTTCTTTACTTCCAAAATAATTTTTAAATATTATCTGTAATAAATGTTGGGTCTTGTATTTTAATTTTTCTCTCTGCAGTGTTCTTTGAAAGTGTGAAATCAGAACTCAGGAATGGATCCTCAGAGTACTCTGATATTTCTGATTCAGAAGAATCTGAGCCTGATTGCACTACACAGGTATAGCTAGAAATAGTCACAAAAGTTAACAAAGCAATTAAATATAATTTTGCTCACTCACTTCAAATTTATCTGGTCAAAGTTTGTGTTAAAAGAGCAATAACAAAGTATTTAATTCTTGTTCAAGTTAATATCTCAAACTTATGGTTCTGCCTCATTCTTCATTTATTCTAGTGTTGAGAAAAATGATAAGATATGCTATCTTGAGCCAAATTTTATGATCATCTTTGTCATTAAAGTGGGGCTGGCAGAGGATGAGCCCTGCTCTGGAACATGCAAAGTCTGAGAAAAGTTAGATCCTACTTGCTTTGTTCATTTCTTCCATAACAGGTCTAAATTTCATTGTTAGAATTATGAGTATCTACCACACAGTTTAATTTTAGAGCATGTTTAAATGGAAACGATCTTGTAGGCCTTTAGTTATTTAAATAAGCTGAAGTGGCTAAATCCTACTGAGGTATTTTAGACTATTCAAAATAAATGGGAATGCTTCATTTTAGGGTCTAGATTCCAGTGATTTCTTTACAGCTAAGCGAAATATAAAAGCGTACACACCTGTGTACATGTATTTATATGTACACGCATGTATTTAAATACAACTTTTAGTATTTAGAAATGTGCATATATAGATATGCACACAAATATTTTTATGATTTTTTTTCCCTTGCAAAATTGTGCTCTGACTTCCTAATTTTAATTTTATTTGGACAGCAGTAAGTAATGTGGAGTGATCACCTCAGATTTTTGGTTTGTGCTTCTGGAAAGCTAATGCTTTGGTCTTTCTTTCAATCATCAGCCTATTATAAGACTTTACAAGAAGTCTTCAAATTCCTACTTCTTACATGGTGGTCAAGATCTATTTTAATATTTGTTGTCTTCCATCATTACCTTATCTAGATGCTGGAATAAGTTATAGGAACCTTCATGATGTGGCTTCTTCAGGTTTCCCAAACTGCATTGTCAGCAACTTTGGCTCAGCAGGTTTCCTTTTTTAAGACACAGAATCAATAGTTATTCTAGTGATTCAGAAGTGGTATACTTCTTCACAGGAGAAAGTAGCCAGTTTTGGATGACTTTGTCATTGAGTGAAGTGTTTTGTATTAATACCATTTACTCTCTTGGTTCCTTCTATATTCTTCTGCTTCTTCATTTCTAATAGTATCTAATAGAATAATTTTTCTGCATATTTAAGTTTGTCTTTTGTAATGATATATCCAAAATGAACTGTCTCGGTTGCTCCTGTAAATCCTTTTTATGTTTTAATATTGCACCAAAGAAGATCTTAACAAAACAAGATAATAGCTTTATTACTTACATTGAGTCATACTTATAATTTAATTGCCCGTTTGTGTCACTTTGCAAGTGTCAAAGATTAACAAGCTGCTCTTGTGAATGAAGCTATTGTATAAAAATATCCCTTGGTGATACGATGCACTTCATTCATTCCACTTCAGTTTTTGATGGTAGGGATAGTGGTGTCAGTCTTGAAGAATTATGATGCCTCCATGTTCTGATCTTCCACTGTCAACACTTTTATTGAGTGTCATGTATATTCCTTGGCTTGAAAAAAAAATTGTGGCATTCTCTGTACTTGTTGAAAACAGATTAGTCTGAATTACCAAGATGGAACGTATCTATTGTAGCCCTTGCTTCACGTAAGGGCATATTCAGTCACATATGGTTGCTCCACCTTTGAGAAGCTCCTGCCCATACAAGCTGTAATCTCAGCAGGAGCTGAATAGCCCTTTCAGTCATGAAATGAGGCTGTGCCACTGTCAGAGAGGCAACAGCTGTTGTGTCTCTGTTCCTACTGTGTTCTGGACTTACCTGAGAGCTTCTGTCACTCATCAGAGAGATGCTGCTGCTGAAAGTTATCTTTTGTGAGAGCAGAAACCAGAAACAATTACTTGGGGCAGGATGTGTCCTGTTATAGGTAATAAGCATCAATTCTGGCTGCTGCTTGGAACCGTACTTCCATATTTTTTTCCTCTACTTTGAATATTGAAGATAAGAATAATCAATGCTCTCTTTAAAGAGAAAACAATGATTTGTGGATGGTTTAATGTGTGTAGTGTTTTCTGTAAGAAAATGGATTTTGGAGCTTTCTGTATTGCTGGAGCTTGTACTTATCAGTGTTACAAAATTTGGATGTGTAGCATCTCAGTTGCTATATTCAAATTAACTGCATTTTGAATACTATATATGTAAATAAGTTGGAGCTGGAAGCCTTTGAATTTTTTACTTAGCATAAATTAAGGTAGCGTCTCTATTTAGAAGGCATGGTGACCATTCTGCGTACTGTTTCCTCTTGTTTCAGCAGAAGGATTCCTCCACAGAGGAGTCAGAAAGCTCAGGTGATGAAGAGAAACAGGAAGTAACATCAAATTTCAAAGAAGAATCTAAGGTCATGAGAGACCTTTGTCAAAATACCCAGAAGCCATCCAGAAATGAAACTCCCAGTAAAAAGTAAGCACATTGTGGGTATTTGTTTATAAACTTCTTGCACACATTTATAGTTCTGCTTTATACCAATGTAAAAAGCATTCCTTCGGAGAAATTTAGTGTTCTGTTTTAAACTGCTTAATTAATACTCCTTTATTTTTCTAGGGAATGTCCTACCTCGACAAGTACAGAAGAAGAAGCTATTCAGGGCATGCTTTCTATGGCAGGATTGCACTATACTACATGTTTACCAGGTCATACTCAAAGCACAGACTGCACAGATAAAAGAACCTCTCTTCAGGAACACAGAAGCTACCCCAGGAGTCGGCATAAAGACAGACAGCCATCTCAGAGCCACAAAACAATAGAATGTGGTAGGTATCTGAACTAATGGTACTGCTGCTCTCTGCTCTTGGACAAACTGCTCAGAATAAGCACTTAAAAGTTATATTTTTAGTTTTGTAGTCAAGTTTTTAAGTAAGTGAGACTGACATTTAAAAAGGTGTGTTCTTTGGGTTTTGGGGGTTTTTTCCCCTATAAAAAGTAAATGTTACTTCTGAAAATTGGGACAAACTTAGAGAGGTCATCAGAATAAATATTCTAAATAGTGCCATCTAAAAGTTTTATGGCTTCCTTACAAGAGTGGCAAAGTTATGGCTAGATTGAAAGTGTAGTCTCCTTATTGAAAGTGTAATCTCCTTCAGAAAAGGTTGACAGAACCTTCATGGTTGCAGCTTTCATGGCATGTGTGTTACTTAGATGTCCATAGGAATCTGTGTGGTGATTTTCTCATGTGTCTTTGGAACGCATATTTGGCTTTACTCCTGAAATTCTGCTATGAATGCAGTGCATTAAAGGAGATAGTAATCTTGAAGAGGAGAATTCAGAGGTAATTTTTTTCAGTGGCATTTTGATGTCAGTGGAAAACAGACATCTGTTAAACGCATTTTGGAATGACGGACAGTAGAACATTAACACTAATCCCCTCAAAGGAATCAAAATCTCTTCTCGGAACAGAGAAAAAGAGAGTCATTATGTTTGAAAATTCTTTGCTTGAGAAGGAAATGGAAGAGGATTATACCTTTGCTGACGTGAAACTAATAGAACCCCACCAACAAATAGGGTGCTAATTCACAGAACTAATAGTATGTTGATTTTTGTTTACCTGGATAATGGGAAAGCCTAATGTGATGTCACGGACTGTGTTCTGGTAACTGAAGTTGTACTGTATGTCCTTAAAACCCACCAACCTACCAAATAAATAAATAAATAAACCCACCACCACCACTAAAAAACCCTAACCAGCAAACCACACAGACACATGCAGTGCCTTTCTATCTTCATAGCTTCATGAAAAAGGTAGTAACCAGGTCTCTAAATTGTGGTGGGTTGACTCAGGCCAGCAGCTAAGCACCCACACAGCCACTTGTTCTCTCCCTCCACCCTGTGGGATTGGAGAGAGAATAGAAAGAGCAAAAGTGAGAAGATTATGGGCTGACATGAAGACAGTTTAGTAAGTGAAAGAAAGGGGAAAAGAAACAAGTGGTGCAAAAGCAATCACTCACCACTTTCTGCAAGCAGACTGATACCCAGCCAATCTCTGAGCAATGACTACCTTGCAAGACCGCCTTTCCCCCCAGCCTCGTCCTCTGCCGCTGCTTTTATTGCCAAGCATGACTTTATATGGTATGGAATAGCCCTTTGGCTAGTTCACGTCAGCTGTCCTGGCTGTCCCTTCCCAATCTCTTGCCTACCCCTAGCCTACTTACTGCAGGGGGCAGAATAGGAAAAGAGAAAGCTGTAACACTGTGCAAGCGCTGTTCAGCAACAGCCAAAACTTTGGTGTGTTATCAACACTGCTTTAGCGACAAATTTAAAATACAGCACCATATGGACTGTTAGGAAAAAATTCCATTCTGGCCAGACCCACTACATGTGTCAAACTCCACATGTGAAGAAGATGAAACTGTGCTTCCTAGCTAGCAGGTTTTGCAAAACCTTTCAGTCTCTCCAAATTCAATTGAATCAGTGTCTTGGAATATCCTTAATTTTACAAGTTAACTGTATTGTAAATGTGTTTTCAGTGTGGACACTTCTTCTATAGGCCTATCAGCATAGATCTTCCATATGTTGTACCTGAATAGCACATCAGTGCTTAGAAACAATACGATCAGTAATACTTGAAAATTAAATGTCCATCTTTGTATGAACTCCTCATGATACAAAGCCATAGTAGAAAAGTGTAGCATAACAAAGGAAGTAAGCCGTCTTCAACATCAGTACTTTCAAATTTGAAGTAATGTTTGTCTGACCTTCTTACTGTGGTGTATGGGTCTTTAATTAGGTGTATTTATACTGTGAGATTGTTTTCCCAATTTAGTGTGTAGAACCAAGCAGCTCTGTTTTGTTTTGTATCTCGGAAATATTTTCCACTGTATTTTCCTTCCTTTCTTGTTTTCATTTTAAAGTCATTGAAATGTAGAATTAACTTTGTATTCCTAGTTTTGATTTTAAAATACCAGCTTGTTCAACTTCTCTATAGGTAGGTCTGTGAAGGAAGAGGAAGGAGACTTGGGGACTTCAGCATGGGCTAGACACCTGAATGAAGTTTCGAGGATTACCCCTCAGGTAAAGCAATACTTCAAACATTTTGAACACATTTTTATAGGAAAAAGGGATCATGAAGTTGTAAGTACAGAAAGCATGGTGGACAGGTCTTTCCACACTGCATATCTGATAAGAGATACTTCTTGTTCTGGTAACTGAGTATTATGTTTTTGTCATACTTTTTTTCATTGTTGTTTTGTTTTTTTTTCCTTTCAAACTCTCTTCTGTCGTAGTGGCTAGTATTAAGAAGCTCAAGGCAGTATCTTGAAAAATAAAAAATACTTTATAAAAAATAAAGCATGAATTTACATTCAGTCTCTATACTGGGGAAGCACTGTATTGTTTATTCATTGTTATTCCCAACCAGAGCATCAGAACAAGTGGAACCTGTTGATAGTATTTATAGTAAAGATACTTGCTTAGGAAATTGATACTGCCAAACTCATACAACCTTTCAACAGCCAGCAGGTAGGAATATTTTTGCTTTCTGATGTCCAGGTGGAATCCAACAAGGAATATATAAATGAAAGGTTGTGTGTCTTACACTCTGAACTTTTTTAGTATTTCTAAACTTGTCTACATTAGAAGTATAAGAACAATTAAATGATTAAATAGAACAGTTAAAGGTGCAAAATAACGGTGCTATTTAAAGCTGTATTTTAACTGTGTGCTTTGTAGGATTTTTTTGGTCAGAATATCTAACTACGTGATACTCCTTACAATTTGTAATTCCCAATTTAGCATTTGTTCTCTCATCAGCTGAATATTGAAAACAAATTGCCTATTTAAGTAGTCAGTGGTTATGGTATAGCTTGCTATAGTGGCCAGTTTAATCAAGAACAATTGCATTTGTTTGGATCAATGCACACTAAAACCAAAAAGTAGAGAAACTGAGTAGACTAGTATGTGTAATTAATCTATAACATTGCCCTTAAGTGCCTTTGGAAAAGCTTGCACAGAAATACTATATTGTATCTTATTTTTAAGAGGTATCTGTGCTGAAAGAAATGATGGAATCATAAAGTGGTCAGACACTCGTGGAACTGAAATATCTTTTTCAAAGATACTGTAGTATAATTAGAAAAACTGGAGTGAACTTGTAGACAGAAGGCGTTAACTTCCACTTTTTTTCTTCCCCTCATTTCCATACTAGGATACAAGTAAAACTCAAAAATACGTTAAGAAAGAGGCTGCATCAGAAGCGAATCATAAGGTTCAGGAAAACAGAAGTACAGTCCACAACAACAGCTTGAGTTTTCAGCATGGCAAGTATACACGAGACTCCAATCTAATTCAAGGAGAATGTCGGCTGAGTGATGGCAGCCTTAGCCCTGACAGGCCGTATGGTGAAACATCCTTGTCTGTACCACTTCATCCAACGAAGAGGCCAGCATCAAATCCACCTCCTATCAGCAACCAGGCGACAAAAGGTAATGTTTATCTCTCTGCTCTTGCCAGAGTGGAGGGGGGGAGGGGGAAGACTAGGAAAAGGAGCTTGTAAACATCAAAAAGAGCTGTTAGGTGCAGAAACTGAAAAAAGGACAGGCTTAGACCTTGAGGAAAGATACAAAATAGGCGTCCTGTGGGCACTCAAATTTTGGCACAGAATGTGTGGAGGTGGAATTTGAGAGACCTTACTGGGTGCATGGCCAGATGAAACTTTCATAGTTACCATTGCACCTCCTCTAGGTGTATCTGTTATGCATTTATTACAGGGAACAGAACCACACTTACACTCTGAAACACTGGCTTGAATCAGATTTGTTTATCAAAGTGAAGGCTTAAAAGCTGTGACACTTAAAAAAAATAGTCTGATGATCATACTATTTAGTTTTTAGTTTCTGGTTAATTTTCTATAATTTACTCAAGGGAATAACTTACCTGAGTAAAATTCGGGAAGCTCAGTTTAGGTTTTCCCCTACCACACCCACTGCCCTTCCCTAGGCTGGAAATGTTTGTAAATAATATAATCACTTTATTTATGATAATGCTAGCCAGAGTTTAGGGAAAACAATTCCTTGTTGTTTGTTTTTGTTTTTTTTTTTTACAATTCTTATTCCTTGTTTGTTTGCTTCCAAACAGACAAATGAAGAGCTTTTTTTTGTTTGGGGTATTTTTTTGGTTTGATTTTTTTTTTTTTTTTTTTTTTTTGGAGGCTGGTGAAAATTCAGGTGAAAATTTTGCCTGCTTCAGCTTGAAAGCTGGGTTTCATCTTTGTTCTACAATGATAAAAATTTGTTCTGAAATTCCTGATTGAAGTACTTGATTTCATTTTTCAGGCAAACGTCCAAAGAAAGGAATGGCAACTGCTAAACAGCGTCTTGGGAAGATCTTGAAGCTGAACCGGAATGGCCATGCACGCTTCTTTGTTTAATGTAGCTGCTACTTCTACTACTGCTGTCTTTCCTACACAGACCAGTATTGAGGTCAACAGAGCCTGGAGCTGCTGTTATTCCTCTGCTTGAAGCAGACTTGCATGTACCATATAAAACACTGCCTGATGAACAAAAACAAGAAAGAAAAAAAAAATACAAAACAAAAAAAAAACAAACAAAAAAAAAAAACCAACCCAATGCTGCATTTTCACTGTGCCACACCTGCTCAGCAATAACCATACGGGAATGGGGAAATCTTCAGAGAGACATGGACTGTGAGAAATAGTCTCTCATCAGGGCTTGAATATCATTTGTTGCTGGTAGTTTCTGACCTAATTAATGAGGGGAAGATGATGAAGGTGGTATATCAATAATTTATTTCTGATAGATTTTGACAACTTTTAAATTCGTTTAAAAAAACTATTTATTTGGAAGACTTTTTTGTGGGGGTTATTAATTTAGATTTAAGAATGTGAAAGTTTTTAATTGTTTTGATAATGTATGTTTGGTGCAGTGGAGAGCCACGTTAATTGTGATTAGTCTGGACTCCTAAATTTGATATTCAGGTTATAGTCTTAAATAGGGGTGAGATGCATTATTAATTATTTTTTAAATTAAGGCATATGGAATCTTATTTTTTTTCCTGCTTTTTGTAAGCTATTGGCTGGGCTTCTGTTGACTTGCAAGTTGCATATTCTCTGCCAGCTTGATTATTTTTTGACCTGTCCTCTTTAATACAGATTTATTTATTTGATGGACTAGAAGAGACTCCTAAGGACAGAAGAATCTTCTTACATCAGTCCAGTAGCTAACTTGTTTTAAACTGCACCCCTTTCCTCCAAATTGGAATGCATGCTTTTCCTCCTGATGATCTTCTGTCATGATTTTCTTCTGTAAAAAGGCTCCCTGAAATTGTGTTTGTACAGGTTATTTAAGAGGTGGTACAAAGGAGGGAAACCTAATATAACTTTTTGGAGGAATAGGGACATCAGTTAAGATAAATGTTTCTTCAGAATAATTACTTTGAAATAACTCGTAAGATATACATTGCAGTCTCAAGATTTGGCATATTACTTAATGTAGCATGGAAGAAGCATTAAAATATTATATTGTACTTCAAACACATTTTACTGAAGAGTAAGGAAGGCAGGAGAATGTGTGTTGCTTTCAAAGCTGGTCGAGACAGCCAATTAAAAGTCTTAACTGGTGCATATACAAGCATTAAGTAGCTTACTGGTATCAGAATGGTCATTTGTGTCAGGCTTCATACAGACCTGATAGCAAATGCCAATTCTGAATTTTTGTAAATAATTTTGATTTTAAATTTGTATTTTTCTGTAATATAAAATTAAATATTTAACTTCTGGGGGATGGGGATGAAGGCGGGAAGGAGAATACTTTTACTTGATTCTGGAAAAAGGGCATTTTGCAGGGTCCAGCCAAAATGTAAACATTAATATGCTAGTGACAACAATATTGTTGGTTGGTTGGGGGTTTTTTTGGTTGCTGAGAGTAAAAATACTCAGGCATAGCTATACAAGTCATTGAATTGATTTTACTTTCCATACCAGTTTTTCCTTCCTCCATATTCTATACTGGAATCATTTTCTCTCGATGTTTAAAAACAAATTCAGTTGGACTTTCCAGAATATCTGTGCAGTTATTTTTGTCTAGGCTAGATGATGAATGCCTTTACAAATTTATGATTGTTGCAGGGTCAAAACTATTTAGCAGTATGTTATCCTGTTTCTGAATTGAGAAACATCAAAACATAATGCAACTGCAAATAAGTCAGGTAGCTTTCATGGCTTTTACTTCCTCCAGAGCTTGAAAATTATAATTTAAGAGTGTTTTTTGCAGCCCTGCATTTACATTATATTGACTTGACTTTATAGGTTTTTTGTGTATTGTGTGCGCGTATGGGTGAATTTTTTTAACCTTTTTTGTTTGCTAAATATGGTTTCACAAAAGCATGTTTTCAGTTTTTTTTTTTTTTTATTTAATTTAATGCAAGCTATCAACCTTGTTTAGACTATTGGGAATGGAGGTAAGAAAGGATTTCTAAAAAGCAGAAGATAAGCTAAGAGGTACTCTACAGGTGCTGAAAGTGACTATAAGTACTTGCTGTTCTCAGGTGCTATGTTTTCCAGATGGAAATAGTTAAAATAGAATATTTTAACTATCTTCTAATATGTTCTCACCAAAGTAAGTCAAAGAAATAAACTGTTGTCAATATTAGTTAAAACTATATACCCATATAAATACTCTCTGTGCTTAAGCTTGAGCAAATGGATTAATGTCTGCCAAGCTTTGAAAACTGTTTTAGCTTTAGCATATTGAACCAAACTGTTTCCTTCTTGCTGGCTGTATATTTTTTAAGAATAGAAAATTGCAGTTTAGGGCAGCAATCAGATTCAGAGCAAAATGAAGAACGAGCTCGCTCTCCTTAAAGGCAGATTTTTGAGAACGCTTATCTAAAATAGAAGTATGCCGGAATAGAATCTGGAGTAAGGAATTTTAAAATATGGAGTATGCTTTCTTGTACATGTGGACTGGCTTATACAAAGTGTCTTTTCTGACCATCCGCATTATTTATCTGTATTTTACTATTGGAACACAGATGTGGCTGGACCCATATATATTATTTCTTCTTGGTTTTATTCTTTCATTACTCTTCTTTCTACCTTTTTTTTTTTTTTCAAAGTGGCTCTCCACTGTCATGAATTTATGTAATAGTCTCTTCACAGGCTGTCAACAGGCAGAGGTTCATTCCATTTTCTTCAAATACCCATGCTTCCAGCAGAAGTTAATTCTGATGTTCCACCTCAGAACAAATAATTTAAAAGAAATTGCCATGATGAGCAGTATTTAAAAAAAAAAAAAAAAAAAAAAACAGAAAGAAAGAAAAAAAAAAGAAAAAAAAAGGGGGGGTGGGGAAGTCTCCTGGTAGCTCATGAAGAGGATGTGGTGACCTCACTTGTTTTGTGTACTTGTATGTAGGGATATTTTTTATTGTGTTCTAGATGAAAACACTACTGCACCAATCTTTCTGTAGATGGACTGAACCTTGTGTTGTTGTAGTGGAGAGAAAAAGCCCTATTTTTTTCTTGCTGTCTCACTTGGGGTGGAAGATGGAGGGAGTAGGGAACGCTGACAGGACAACAAAGAGAATTAAGCCTGCTATAGTAACTCATTTTCAAGGATAATCTTTTTTGAAAAGTCAGAGAACTTGGATTTGGCATAAAACTTTTTTTTTGTAGACAGAACAATAGGAAATGAAATATTGTAGGGGTTTTCCCATTCTCTACGTTCTCACGTTCCTGCAATTGAAAAAAAGAAACAAACATGAAAATGGAAAGACCACCTAGAAACTATATCAAAGACTCTTCCAGCAACTTTCCCTTTTCTTCTCCTACTATACTTGCTAATAAACCCTGGCTACGAGGTAGCCTTTGTTGACCTCTGAGGTAGATTACCTATGCAACCTATAATACTCTACATGAATCCATTCTTAAAGACAATTTTGAAAGGGTTAGATGTTGAGAGTTAAAATTGTTGCTTTCTGATCACGTGGGGGATTTTGGGGGTTTTGGTTTTTTTGGTAGTTGAAGTGCTTGTGTTACCTTTAGTAGAGATAGAAGAGAGCACAGTGTCATGATCACATTTGAGAAGCTTCAGCTTTCCCTAGGCTTTGCTATATGGCATAAGCTACCTTCATTCACAAGGCAGTGAACTTGTAAATGTTGAAAATTTTTGCAGGGTTTTGGAATCAGAGCTGATGTGAATCTTGCCTACCCCCTTTTTGGTAATTGTGGAGACTAAGCAGAACCGAAGCTAGAATGACCTGGTACTACAAGCTTATAACTAGTGTCTGATTTAAGCTCCACATGCTCACCTATCCCTTCACACCCCCTACCATGTCCCCCAAATCTAGTGTCTTTCCACATAATACTTTTCACATAATACTTCCAGACCATTAAAAGCTGTTTGCAGCTCTGGGGTTGAGTGAGCCCAGAGCTACTGTTTCACAGAAAAAACATAAATGGAACCAAGGGCCTTACTGTTTGTGGTTAAACAAGATTAAAAGCTGCAACATCCATTTTTCCAAAAAAAAACCCCCAAACAAACAAACAACAAAAAACACCCTAGTAACCCTCTTTGTGGGAGCGTATGAATGATAAATCATGCAGTGGATGGGAAGTTTAAGTAGCACTGATAAGGAAATGCATGTTCTTCATAGGCTGCATTTCTGTTTGGAAAAAAAGACTTTTTCTACTTTTAATATAAATTAAGCCATAAGAGTTTCATGCTGTGGGAAGGGAATGAAAGGGATCACTTTAAGAGATTATATTGATATGTATTGTCACTTCTGCTGGGAAATGTCTATTGCTGCCAATGCTTTGGTGAATCTTTTTTTTTAAAAAAAACAATGAATTTGAAAAAAAAAAAAGAAAAGGGGGGCTAGTTCTTGGCTATATTTACTAGTTTTGTAGTAACGTTTTGCTGGCCCGTTTGTCTCTTCCTCTCCTTTTTCTACTCTCATAGTCTAATTTCTATCTTTCCTTCTAATGTCTCTGAAAATATTAGCTTGTCTGCTCAGTAGAGGTCGGTGTATGTGTGTCTTCCTTTTTACAGAAACGCACTACTGTGTTAAGTATTTGGCTGGGAAATGGGATGCTGCAGCTTTAAGAGCATTTTTTTCAATTCATAACAGTATTTCCCATCCTCTTTTGCCTGCAGGCAGGGAAAGTGTATGTACAGTATTTATTTTGTTTCGATTTTACTTTAAATTTGTAAGTTTCTATAAGTAGTTCACATTGATTATTCTAGAGGAGGACAAGTGGCTTTGTTTAAATTTGTATTTGATATTCATAGTTTCCACTTTCTGTACTTTAAAATACTGAAATTAAAAAATTGTATTGCTTATGTTTTGATTTTAGCACTCTAAAGTGTTTAATTTCTTCAGACTTCTGCTTATTTGCTTCAGTGTAAATACAGAAAACTACAGAATATCATGAGGAGAAAAATGCTTTTCTAGGTCCAATCTCTGCGCCCTTTACTTGTCACACTTTAAAGAAGAAGTCTTCTGGAGAAATGTGAGAGGGAATATTCTCATATTTTTTAAAAGTGTTTTCAAAGTGCGAATCTCATTTCAATCCATGTGTATTATATGGCAGCTAAATGCATTTTGTGAAGATGTGTATATTCTTTTTGAATCCTAATGTAAAAAGAAGGTGGAAGTGTTTGTGATCCATCATATTAGCAGATCTATAACTGTAAAAAGGGTGTCAAATGGTATTTTCGTATTTTTTTCTCTTGGTTTTTGTTCAGGTTTGTCTCATGGTACTGATGACTGACTCATCTCTTGATTTCTTTTTTTTTTTTTTCTTTTTTCTTTCCCCCCTTCTTATTCCTTTAAGTGTGTGCAGTTTCTAGAAGAAGAGATTTCTCTTTCACACTTCCATGTACTTTGTCATACTTGCTTTTATCCCAGGTGACTTCTCTGCTGATTTCTCCCACCACATGTCATCTTCTGGTTTACAGTTGTCACTGCTCCCTATTTTGACTCCATATGGCGGCAGTACAGTGTTTGCATGTGGGTACACTACTTGGTGGTAACAGAAGCATTTCTGTGTTGCACTCCAACTTCGTGTGATGCATTTTTTTCTGCAAATAGTGCTCCATGCTACTGAACTGCTTAAGTGCTGTAATGGGCAGATGCTTAGATTCCAGTGATGGTCATTTTATGAGAACCTTAGATAAATGATGCAGTAATGGCATTGAAAGAACCAGGTGGCAAAAGGTGTTTGATTTGAGTGTCCTCTGTAGCTGCTCAAGTTTACTTCTTAGCCTGGCTTTTACTTTACAGTGAATTTATGGTTGACTATAATGACTAGGAGATCTGTTCATGGACCAGGACTTTGTTGTGCCAGGTGCTTTACGGACAAAGAACAAGAATGCTGACCTCATCAAACCGTGTACTGCTTAAGTATAAGATTGAAATAGTTTTAAAAAAATCCCAACAAACTAGAAGGTTCTGTGGCCTACATGGTAGTGTTGTAGATTTTGGGGCTGTAAGCTTCTGTGCTGTTTCAAAAACAAATTTCATTTGAGTGGAGTAAGAAATCATGAGGAAAACTCATTATTTAAGTACAAGGGATGAAGTTTAAATATTTATCTGTCCAGAAATCAGTTCCTGCTGTATTTTGACATGCCTTTACATCTTTTCAATTAATGTGTTAAAACTGATTTTAAATTTGGTTAGCCAAAGATTTGCCAAAGATCTGAAAGAGCTGTTTGTCTATCAGACCAACCACATATTTTGAAAAAGTCTTGATCACTGTGATTGAAGAACAACGTTACAACCTACGCATTTCCATCAGACAGACTCATCTGGATTTGTCACACTGAACTCGCTGCTTATACTAATGTTTTGGTCTTAAAGCAACAGACTTAAGAGAGCGCCTTAGTGGGCCACAAATACAAGTTTCATACCCATATAAAAACCTGTATAAGCACCTTTACTATTTGTCCTTTTGTTTTTGCCAGCTACGCACCAGAGCTTTTCTCTGTGACTGGTGTTTGGTGGATAATAGGTAGGATAATACACTGGAAAATATGTGAAATATCTCAAAGTGCTGCTTTAAATGCTACTGGATAGCCTTCAGCACCTGGAGCCATATTTCCATTAAAACTCAG